AGCCATCCAAGCTATCCTTTGTTCTTGCCTTGGATCAGGTATGACTTGCACGCTAGGAATAGTATTAAATTTTGGGAACATCTGTGGGTGGGGAATTCTCCTTTGAGGGATCAATACCCTTCTGTGTTTGCTTTGTCACTCTATAAAAACGAGCCTATGTCTACTTTCTTGGTTCCTTACAATTTCGGTTCTGGTTTTGATTGGGATTTGGGCTTAAGAAGGGCTATTAGGGATACTGAGTTAAGTTGTACTTTGTCTCTCTTGAGTGTACTTGATGGACCCTCATCAAGCTAATAGAAGAATTTAGAGCCCCACTCATGGTTTGTTTACTTGCTCTTCCTTTTTCAACACCCTAACCCAACCGGAATCCATTGGGGGTCTACATTTTCCTGTTAAAGAGTGTGTAGCAAACTTATCCCACCAAGGATTGGTTGTTTCTACTGGGAAGCTTACCTGGAAAGAATTAACACATGTGATGTGCTTCAAAGAAAAAGACTGAAGAGTTGTTTGTCTCCTTATTGGTGCTGTCTTTGTAAGGTTGCTGGTGAGAATTGCTACCATTTATTGATCTCTTGTTCATTTGCTAAAGGTTTATGGGAATGGTTTTCTTCTTTGTTTGGTTGTAAGTGGGCCCCTCGATCAGATGTGAAAGGTTTGTTTGCTCCTTCCTTCTCCAGATTGCCAAAGAAAAGGGGAAAAATAATGTGGCATTGTGTGAGAGCTGTTGTTGTTTGGACAATATGGGAAGAAAGGAACTCCATAATCTTTTCATGGAGGGAGAGGAATAAGGAAACCATTTAGGAGGTGATTTGTTCTATGGTATTCCATTGGCTTAAATCAATTGATCTTTTCAACAAGGTCTCAATAGATGATTTATCAAGTAAATGGAAAGAAATTGCCTTTTCAGCTCCGGTTCAAGAGGCTTCAGTTCCAATTTGGTCCCTTCCAAATGGATTCTATAAACTGAGCTTTGATGGAAGCAGTATCGGAAACCCAGGGCCTTCAGGTATTGGGGGTGTTATAAGGGACGTTTAAGGGAACATTACTAGTTTAGAAGGTGAGAGGGATAAGTTGTGGACTAGGGTAGTTCTGAGTATTCATGGTCAGGTAAATGACGGCTAGGACTCTGCAATTTTGGCAAGGTCTAATGGTGCCTCTCCTTGGAAATCAATACATGCCATTCTTCCTTCTTTTTTGCAGTACATCAGGTATGACCTCTACTCTGGAAATCATGTAAAATTTTGGGAGCACATTTGGGTGGGTGAGGTACCTTTGAAAGATCAATTCTCCTCTTTGTTTTCCCTCTCTAGGTATAAAGGCAAGGTTGTATCCAGTTTTCTAGTTCCTTCTTAGTCTAACTTTATGTTTGATTGGGATTTGGGGTTCAGAAGAGGCTTAAGGAATGTAGAGGTTGAAGATGTCTTGAATCTGGTTCAGATCTTGAACGGGGTGGTGTTGTACCCCTCTAAGCGGGATAAGAGACTATGGACCCCAACTCCCTCTGGGACCTTCTCTTGTTCTTCCTTTTTAAGTCTCTCTAACCTTCGACCAATAATTTTGCACAAAATTTTCCTTTTAAGGATGTCTGGGGTGAGCCGATTCCTCCAAGGGTTGGAGCCTTTTGTTGGGAAGCCTTCCTAGAAAGGTGTAATATTTATGACTTACTCTAAAGAAAAAGGCCTTTTTCGTGCTTGTCTCCTAATTGGTGCATTCTTTGCAAGGCTAACGATGAAAGCTCCTACCACTTATTAATTTCTTGCCCCTTTGCTGTTTGATCTTTGGGACTAGTTTCTTTCCTTATTTGGTTGCAGGTGGACCCCACCACCAAATATTCAAAGCTTGTTTAGCTCTTTGTTCCTTCGATGGCCAAACAAAAGGGGAAGGATTATGTGGAGATCTATGAGGGCTGCTATTTGCTGGACCCTATGGGAGGAAAGGAATGCCAGAAATTTTTCTGAAAATGGAAGTAGTAAAGAAAGCCTTGTTGAAGTAATAATAGTTAGGGTGGTGCACTGGCTTAAATCCTTGGACCTGTTTGTTGATGTTTCTACAGACATGTTGCTGAATAGCTGGACGGAGGTGGCAAATTTTGCTCCTACTCACCCTTCTGTTTGTCCTGTGTGATCACCACCAGCCTGTGGCTTTACAAAGCTAAAATTTGATGGTAGTAGTGAAGGAAATCCAGGTCCGTCAGGAGTAGGAGGGGTCTTCAGAGATGATGATGGGAGGATGCTTGCAATGTATTCAGGTCCCATTGGGGTTGGGGACTCTCTTAAAGCTGAGATCCATGCTGTACTGAAGGGGATAAGGAAGACTAAGGAACTGAATATACAAAGTTAGTTGTTGAAGGGGACTCAAAGCTGGTGTTAAGCTGGATACAGAAAAAGAGTGGACTTTGGAAATTTGCTAATGAGAGGAGGGAGATTAAGTGACTGACTAAAGGACTAGAAATCCATTTTCAGTGGGTTAAGAGAACAGAAAATGCTTTTGCTGATGCCTTGGCAAAGCAGGGGGTGGGAAGGGATAAAATGTTTTGGGCTGTTCTGTAATTATTTCTTTGTTGTCCTCCTGGAGAGAGTTAAGCCTTTTTATCTCTCTCTAGAGTGCAGTAGCTACATTTTTTTTATTAATCTAATGGGTTCCTGTTATTGATAAAAAAAAAAAAGAAATGTGCAAATTCCTTTGCTGATGGGTTAGCAAAACAAGGGGTGAATAGGGAGAACTTGTTTTGGGCTTGTTAGAGTTAGCCGAATAAGGGTAGATTAGTCAACTCACCTTGGTTAAGTTATGAGCTTATGTGGCAGTCTTATTAGAGGTTCTCTGTCCCATACTTAAGTAGGGGCAGTTTAGTCCTTGTACATTTAATTAGAAGCCTAATCACTATTAWRAGGTCGACTGATWGGGTTTAGCTATTAGGTTCGACAGTTCTTTCATCTTCTTCTTCTTCTCTTCTTCTTCTTCTTCTCCTTCTCCTTCTCCTTCTTCTTCTTCTTACTGGTTTGGACTACTGTAGCTACAGTAGAAACAGGGCTCAACTGTAATTTTTTTTTGTAACGTTTCTTTTGTTGGGGAGACAAGAGAGGTTATCTCCCCTTTGTAATCTTATTTCTTTAATTAATGAATTCATTTGCTATTGATAAAAAAAATGGTTGGGACAGAGTCCTCTGGTTTAGATTTGCCCCATGAGATCTTGTTGATACTGCATGTATAGCTTTGGCATTTACACATTTTTAGCTAAGGGTTAGACCTTTGGTGATGATATTAAAGACGACGCTTTGGAGAATGCTAAGAACTAGATGAGGATATAGGAATAGGCAAGGAAAAAAGCCTAAGACTAAGAAAAAAAAAGATGTTTGTAGATATATAAGACTTTTGAGACATCAAACCATAACATATTGTACCCTTTTTGAGCTAAAGAGTAACCTAGGATCCAACTTCCCAGACAAAGGAAATAGATATAAACAAAACATCTACACTCAAAAGTAGTAAGGTGTATAGAGTACAATGGTTGACTATAATGAGCCATTTGCTCTAATTTCTAACATGAATTCGATATGGGTTCTATTATATCTATAGCTAGAAATTTTGAATGGTCACTTCATCAATTGGATATGATGAATGCCTTCCTTAATGGAGACTTAGAAGCAAAGGTATATATAGTGTAATTACTAGGTTTCCAACTTGAAGGTAGTGAATAAAAGTTTGTTATTTGAAAAAGTCCTTATATGGACTCAAACAGTCCCCTAGAGCATGGTTTGAAAGGTTTAATAAGATACTACAATATGTAGAATTCCAACAATTTCAAATTGATCGCATCTTGTTTGTTAAGAGGGAACAAGACTAAATTTTAGTTCTTAGTATACATGTTGGTAATCTTGACATCACTGGAAATTGAACAGTTAAAAAAGTTACTTGACATCACAATCAAGGTGAAAGATCTAGTCAGATTAAAGTGCTTTCTAGGGATTGAAGTTGCTAGGCCTTACAATGGTATCTTAGTTTTCCAAATTACATCGTAGATATACTCAAGGAAACTAGTACAAAGGCTCAAACCAGCTGATACACCTATGAAGTTTAACCTAAAACTTGATAAAGATTGCAGAGAGAAGCTTTTATATGTGAGACAATTCCAGAGGTTGATACTTCGATGCATGTCTATGACTAGACCAGATATTGGATATATTCAGTTCTCAACGAGTACATACATTCTTCTACAACAGCCCAATTTACTACTGAGCATTTTCTTAGGTACTTAAAGAAGCACCCAGGGAGAGGTATTCTTTTCTCTAATGGTTATCTTTGAGTTGAAGTGTAGATGTTGATTTGGATGGTTCTGTTGATGATAGAAGATCTATCACAAGTTCCTGCACATTGAGGGAATTTAGTGACATGGAAGAACAAGAAGTAAGCAATTGTTGCCAAATCTAGTGTTGAAGCCAAGTATAGGGCTATTGGTAAGGTCTTGTGGTTAAGGAGCTTACTACTGAATTGGGGTTTCCCATGAGAGGTTCAATGTCTTTATTGCAATGACAAGGTAACAATAAACATTGCTTGTAACCATGTTTAGTATGAGAGGACCAAGCATATTGAAATAGATGTGCTTTTATCTGATAAAGAGTCGAGAAGGGTGAAATGCCTTCTTTTTTGTAAACTCTATAGATCAATTAGCTGATGTTTTTACCAAAAGTGTATCTACCCAATGCTTAATATGTTTGATTACATTAAATGAAAGGGTACTTTGGTAATCATCCTTAATATGTTTGACCCTAAATATGCCACCCACTCTGAATTTGCTGCTCTTCAACACTCTTTCTTTTTTTTCTTATTTCTACCTCTTTTTCTGTGGCAGACAACAATATACTGTCCTTGTTTTTTTTTCAATTTCCTTTCTAATTTGAATTTTAAAGGACAAATAAATATAAATTGATGAAGTCTAAGGAATATAAGGATATACATACTACATCAGTTCTAACGATAATCTCTATTAAAATCTTTTGCAGATACCAGGACTCCGTCGACCACAGCAATAGTTGCCTTGAATTAAATACCAGAGAAATCAAGGGAAAAAGGTCATTGATTTGACAAGCATCAAAGATGAGCTGAGAAAACCAAATCAAATCAAGTTCGGTTGATTCTAAAATGTCGTAATGAATGTTGTTGAAGATCCTCTAACCTTATTTCCTGGTTTTCAAATTTTAGAAAACCAAATCAAATTATGGGACCTGCTTTCCTGAAATACTGGGGTTTGGAAAATGACTACGTTGGCAAACACCCTTTAGATTATGGAGTTCTGAACCAAGGGTGGCATTTGTATGGTAATACAATTTTTGTCAGAGGTTTGTTCATTTCAACTTTCATTCAAGATTTTTTCAGTTTTGACTTCAATTAAGTTTACAAGTATTATCTATAACCTATCCCAGCTATATATTAGGGCAGATTAAATTAAAATTACACGTTGGTTCTGTTTCAAAGGATTTTCATATTGGACAGATTCTATATAAATCCGGACAAATTTCACCGCCCTCAAAGTTGAGTAGATCCCTAAAGATGACATGACGTGTAAGATTATTCTATATGCAGGGAGCATTAGAGTTTAGTATAGATCTCCAAAACAATAATCATTGATATTTTATCAAGAACACAAAATGTCTAAAGCTTGATCTGGAGAATCCTTCACTGATGCCAACTTGCATCTTGGAGGCAGTAAATGCCTAATTTACACATCCTATGTCAAAAATGTGATCGACATATGATGCATGGTTAAAGAACCCCTTTCCATGGTAATACAATTGCTGTTTTTACTTGAAATCCCAATTTGGCATTCTTATAAGATGCCTTTACACGCATTTTTAATTTAGGCCTCTTTCAACTGTAAACAGCTAACAGTTGTATGCCAATTTGTGTTGATCAACTCAAAATATTTAAGGTAAAAACATCAACAGTACCAATCACTACCAAATACAATCAACATTAGGAATAATTATGATAAATCCAGTCAACGTGATATTATCATTCTAGACTAATCTAAGGATTGGGTTTTTTTTCCTATTTCCTATTTGAAGTAGAAAGGGTGGATTTGAGTCTAGTTGAGCCAAATATTTATTTGGCTATTCGAGTTTAGCTTGATAAAAAAACAAAATTTGAACTCGATTCAAGCTAGAGATTTGAGCTTCAATTCAACTTGATTCAAAAGTTCATATGTTCTAGTTCAGCAATGAGCCAATCTTCATAAAAAAATTGTACATGTAAAAAATTACACATATAATATTTACATATAAAAATGATTTATTATTAAACACAGATTAAAAATATTATATATAATATAAGCTTGATTAGTGTCAGCACTTGATTTTTGTTCAGTCCACCGCTTGGATCCCCAATTCACTCCGAACACTTGATTAGACTATTTTAATCTTCTTGAAACATCAAAAAACTCAAATAGCCTAAATTTCAACCTAAAAGCCTTCAGATCCACCATTAAACCTACTCATTGCCAATTTGATAGCCTCGATTAACCCCTATTTACACCATCAAACCCTTGACATTTTAAAATAATGGTTTGTAAATTTTCAACTTAAGATTCCTCCGTTTACCCAAGGTTTAAAATTTTGCAATGTATCGGCCCGTATCGACAGGTACATATCGTATTTTTGGCTTATTGACACAGGGAACGGTACTAAAATGCATGTACCATTCCTATTCGTCATTTCCTATGTGAATTGTGGCATTTCAACATGTTTTGTGCACGTATTGGTCAATATGCTACCGATACAGTAGCACATCAACTGATACACTACAAATTTACTGTGTTGCGAAAACAATTTTAAAGAAGGCTTCTAAACCCACTTTAGAAGCTTTCTTTCTTCCTAAAACTCTCTAGAACTCTTCCTTGTCCTTAGAGAGTGAGATTTGTTGCAAATCTGGAAGAAAACCCACAAGATTGTGACATCTATCAAGTTTTTCCAAGTTGTTTCAAAAGGGGCGATAATAGGTATGGTTTTTTTTACAAGATTTTTGTGTTTTCTTTTGGCCGGATGCTTAGAAACATTGTTATGTGTGTAGATATGCTTCCCTTGTGTTAAAAGCTGCACATATTTTGCTGATATAAGTAGATATTTGTGAGTATTTGAAGAAATTTTAGAATAATAAAAAAGACGAAAAAAATGAAAATTTTATGTTTTTATGTGATCAACCTCTAAAGATTGGTTATGTTTGAGATCTATGGATGATCTACCATACCTCTAAAAATTTAAATTTCTTTTAAAATAATTAACTTTTTATTATTATCTTTTTATTTTTATGTGATCTAACCATATAGGTTGAGTATATTGTAGAGATAAGACTGATCTAACATACTCCATAATTCCATCCTTAAATATCATGTAAAAAATTTAATTTGTTTTTGTTTTTTGTTTTATTTTTTATTTTTAGATTAAAAATGTTTAGTTATTTCTCTAATATTTGCCATGATCTAATCATAAATATTTATTATGTTGTAAATATATGGGTGATCTATTATGTCCATAAATCCATTTAACTTTTCTGTTACATATTTATTTTTTTTAATTTTAGTGTAGATATTTGTGAGTATTTGAAGAAATTTTAGAATAATAAAACAATACAAAAAATGGAAATTTATGTTTTTGATGTGATCTACCTCTAAAAATTGATTATGTTGTAGATCTATGGATGATCTACCATAACCATAGATCAATTAAAATTTATTCTAAAATAATTAATTTTTTAATTTTATAGGTTGAGTGTATTGTAGAGATAACACTGATTTAACATACTCCATAATTCCATCCTGAAATATCATGTGAAAATTTAAATTTATTTTTTGTTTTATTTTTTATTTTTAGATTAAAAATGCTTATTTATTTCTCTAATTTTTTGCTCGGATCTAATCATAAATATTTATTATGCTATAAATATATGGGTGAACTATAATGTCCATAAATCCATTCAATTTTTCTATTACATGCTTATTTTTTTTAATTTTAGTGTAATTTTTAGAATAAACATGGAAAATAATTATTTAAATAAAAATAAATAATTATTTAAAATTTATAGAAAAAAATGTTTGGTTAAATAATCATTACATACTTACATGACTAGTTAAAAATGTTACATAATTATTTGAATAAATAATTTTTAATTGTTTAATTGCATTAGATAACAATTAACAAAATTTTTAATGTAACTAAAAAGAATTTATGTGAATATTTAAGAATGTTTAAAAAAAATTACAGAATAAAAGGCATTGATATAATTCACATGATAATTGTGGACTCAAAAAATTTGTAAATAATTGTTATTTGTTTAATTGGATTAGATTATAAGTGAAAAAAATATTTCAAAAAGTAAAAAAAAGAGATTTCCTAATAACACTTGAAGTTTTGTTTAGTAACAAATTAACACTTAAAATTGGATAATTTATTTAATAATAGAATTTTGATGTGATTCATATAATGTTGTAAACATAGTGGATATTTATAAATTTATTTGTTAAATTAGATGATTTTAAATTTTTAAATGTGTAAACATGATGGATAATTGGGCACTTGATGATTATTATTTCTTAAATTAGATAATTTATTTAATTACTTGTTAGATTTATGATTTATTATTTATGAATATTTTATTAGATATTATTTTATAACTTTAAATTTTCAATTAATTTTTATGCATATGCATTATGATAGTGTGACATTATGAATATGTGATATTTGGGATATAGAATTTCACCATGTAAACCTTCGACATGGCACTTAAAAGATAAAAAGAAGATATTGGTTGGAAAGATGGCACAAGAGTTGATGATAATCGATTCCATACAAAATGTAACTATTGTGGGCTAGTTATGAAAGGTGGTGGTGTGACCCACCTAAAACATCATTTAGCAAGGGGATATTCAAATGTTGTCGATTGCCCTAAATTCCCCTTAGAAATTTTCAAGGCAATGCAAAATCATCTTAAAGAACAACAGATGTTAAGGAATTAACAAGAAAAAGACAAAAAAAAAATGATTAAAAGAATATTAGGGCCTAGAGATGATGATGATAAAGGGGAGGAGGAAGATGACATAGAATCAAGGCCTCAATATTTTAACATATATGATGATGATGCAGAAAAGTATAAATAACATATAATATGGGGCATGCATCACGAGCTGCATAATGGGAAGCGGAGTAAGTACAATGATTTCAGAGAAGTAAGTATGTATTTGTAGATTCAGATTATCAGGGGGTAGTGGATCATTACAAACATCCATGTCAAAGAGTAAAAGAAAATTATTCTATACATCGAGTATGAAATGAGCATTTTCAAAACTAAATCCCTTTAAAAAATCTTCATTAAGTAAGGACACTCCTAATAATGAAGAGATGGATACATATTTGTATAGAAACAAAGATGCTATATGGAAAAAACTTAAAGAGTGTTATGAGAAAGGCTTTGGACATAATATGAAAAGAGTAGTTGCAAAGTTTTTATTATACAATCACATTCCTACAAGTGTAACAACTTCATAATATGTAGAAAAAGGTTTAAAGGGGCCCACAACTTATGAGGTGATGGGAAAGTTTTTAGATGAAGAATTGGCTGAATTGAAAGACCATTTCAAGACATTTTATCATAAGGCTAACACCTATGAACTTACCATCATGTGTGATGGTTGGACATGGCCAACCAGATTGTCCATCATAAATTTTGTAATGTATTGCAATGGACAAACAATATTGCACAAATATATTAATGCATCATATGAGCGGCATAATTTACAATATTTGTATAAACTAATGAATTCAATGATTGATAAAATTGATCCTAAAAATGTTATCCAAATCATAATTGACAATAGAAGCTCTTATAAAGCATTTGGGAACATGTTGAAAGGAAATAAAAAACACATATATTGGAAACCATGTGCAGCCCATTATATTGACTTGATATTGAAAAATATTTTAAAATTACATAGTGTCTAATCTTATTGCAAAAGGGCGGAAAATTACAAGTTTCATTTATAATCATGCCATAGCTTTCAACTTGATGATAAAGTTACAAAAGATAGAGAATTAATACGTCTAGGACCTACCAAATTTGCTACTCATTACATTGCTCTATAAAGTCTTGTTTCTCAAAAAGCAGTAGTGAGAGCCATGATTGATTCAGATGAGTGGAAATTGTTGCAATGAAGTAAAACACCAGTAGGGCAAAAAGTTGAAAAAAATAGTCAGTAACATCAATTTTGAAGAGTAAATTTTCTGTATTGTAATATGATTAAGCCCATCGTTAAAATCCTTCAGATAGTTGATGGTGAAAACGAGCAACAATGGAAATTATATATAAAACAATGTAAACATCTATTTTAGTAATTAAAGAAG